TAATTATCAAGTTATGTAGATTTAGCAATCATCTTACAACTTATACTTATAATTACCGTCGAAAAATCATGATCTCCGTTTATCACATCTCAGCAAAGTGAATGCATAAGGATACTAGTTAAGAACTGTATTATAAAGCTACAGGTATCCAACTGTATGTTTTGGAAGTGCACTTTTTGAGAAACGCAATAATAAAAGCTCTGCCTTTAATAGCTTTGCCCTTTAAAATCTAAAGTCTAGCTACTGCAATTGGACCAATCACGATAACAGTGTGGACAAAGTCTCATAAATAAATTAAGTTTTGCATTAAATAGATATTCTAATAAAGCTAGTTAAATGTTGCCTAAGATTTACTAATACTTGGTGCTTTATCCATTGTGATTGGCCTAAACGCCATAATAGTCACGACTGGCTATAAAATTACAACTTTACAAGTTGTCCCCTAATAAATATAGAACTTGTAAGCACTGGATTCAATTATGCTGACATTGCTGACCTAGTGCAGACCTCATGATGATGTCCTTGCTCTTGACATGAATGTAGGACACAAAATGACAATAATAGATGACAACAATATTTTTCCTGTTTCGATACCAGTGTCATAATTTAATTAATTATTAGTTCAATATGGAAGTATCAGAATTGTATACCTAGTATTGAAAAGAAAATCATTTAATATGCTAGTTGAAGCATATTTCCCCGCTTGTTTATGTTTCTGAGATTATAAATTCATTTAGGTCTTTAATACGCGTGTTATTTTCAATACTGTTCTTATTGTTAGTATAATTATTTCTTGACTAGTTGTAGTTTATCCAACATTTTTACATAAAACATATTAGTTCAATACCGAAAACCATCCTCGCTCCAGAATCTGATGCATTCTCATGGTTATTACAACCAATAAAGTCACGAGCACTTGTTTTCTTCTATACTTTTGTGCTTAAACGGAGTGTAATTGTGATTAATTGCATAAAATCCTTCGTCATCGTCAAATAACACAATTCGAAGTGCGAACAAACGCGCTAAACAATTGACGGCACGTTCCAAAACCAATTATCGACCAATTATCTCTTCAAGAAACAATTACTTAGCTCGTTATTATTAAAAAAATACGCTATTAATGAATCAACAGGATTAATTATTGCAAGCGACAGCTCAATGGTAAGCGTGCTTAATTTTCGTGATAGTAAGTGTTATGATGTCTCTTGATCTAATAAGCAAACTTGGACCCAATTAGACGATGGTGATCAATACCGATTTGATAATTGCGTTTATGTTCAAATCGGTCAAGTACGTTGCACAATATTTAACACTCTTTTGCCAAGAGTAGGTATCCTTTGGTTGAGCAAATTGTGGTACTTTGATGATTACGGGACTATTCCCACCACTGCAACTCCTGTGTAGCCAGGATCTACAGCTTGATCGCCATAAAAACCCAACCAATGAAGGTCAAGTTTGTCCCGGGGGAAAGTTAAACTGTCATTGGACCCGCAACGAAATTAATCAGAAGAACATAATAGGAGGAGTTCGAAATTAAGTTTCGACTTCCCTCCATTGCAAAGCGGATGACAGGTGACAAACAAAGGATTAAAACCTTTAAGAAAAGATACTTTGATGATTAGGATTATCACACAATTTGTCTTAGATAAGTTTTATTTCTAGCACATAAATGGTGACAGAGTTGTTGCCGCTGTGCTTCAGCTCTTGCCATATGTTTGTCCTGAAGTCCTAGTAAGGTAAAAAGACTATGAGATACCTGTAGTCTCCTTTACGAGAACAAGGGTAACTTAAAAGGTACTTATTTTCAAAATGAAAGTAAATAATTCAAGCTATTCGTTAGTTGTTTGTATAAGATAGTAACATTTAGCGACTAAGAATGTACCTGGGCAAGGACATGTGATCTAATACGAGATATTAATAGGTTATCGTTTAAATTGTAAACAGATATAACTATAGTTAAAAACCAGAAGTAGGCATACAGTGACCAATCCAACTGGTAGGCGTTTGCGGTAGGAAAAATCAGATATGGCTAATTGTTGCATTCAACATGCACACTTAGCAGCACGTATTTTTCTTTCTTTGTGGAAAACTTTGGGAGGCCTTTGTCCATTTGTGGACGTCTTTCGGCTAAAACAAACGAACGAATGAACGATTTTTTTCTTGCTAAATAGTACCTATTAGAACTGCATAGGATGCTCGACGGTCGTACTCATAAGGTGAAGTACTTAGTCCTTAGTCGCTTCATTATTCATGAAACAACAGGGATTACAGTGTTCTTTCCATAATGTTACACTAATGACTCTATTAATTATGTATTGACAAGGTGATTTTTGGAACAAGCTCTAAAGGCCAAATGAATAAATGGATTCTTAGCTTAAACACAATATTTGCATAGATTTTGTATTGGAACATTTTTTCAGGCAGTTTTGCAGTTTTCAGGGCAGGTCTACATTAAATGTTTCGTAATCAGTTTTCAACTGCCAAATTCAGCTATTCAATTAGATACTTACTTAATCATAATTTATTTAGGAAACATAAAACTATCGGTTAACGTATTTACCGCGTTCAAATAGTTGCATTACTATGTCATACAGTTTGAAATGTAAAAATTGCATGTTAGCAATTCGGAGTATGTTTAACTGAGACTAACTACGACTATTATAACTTGATTGTTTTCCGCGACTTGTTATAAAGACAACAGACTATGTTGCGCCGGCGCATAACGGTTTCAAGGCAAATGGACAGACGACAGCACGTCAAGTTTAATACTGTGACATCTTTTGTACTCGTAATATATTAAGTTTCATCTTTGCAACAAAATTTAAAAAGTCTGTAATACTGTCCATGTCGAGTCGACTATTTATTTTTGTTGCAAAATTGCCACTGTTACAACTATGTAAAGGTGCCACAATGAACTGAACGTGCCGTGTCGTCGGTAATAAAATTATCTGAATTTTCAGCGGCGAAATAAACTTTAATGTTTCTTTAAGAGCACGAATCACTGGAGTTCATAAGATATCTACTGAAATAAATATTGTGTGTGGCAGAATGTCGCTGTAGTACTTTTAAGATCGAGCGTAGAAAGCTCTTTTTTACATTAGACCCGGAAGATACATTTTTTTACAGGACTTGTCCTTTTTCTTTATTCAGCATCTACTCAAGATAAGTTATATGAGGTCGTTATTATTTATACGCCTAGGAAGTGTACAACTATCAAGTGCAGCGATAAATGTCACGATTTTGCTATGCGTACGCGCACTTATAAGTAGAGTTTGCATAATAAACGATAGAGTAATAGGAATGATTTAACGATATTCTAATTGGACATATAAAAATTATAAAATATTGACCGTTTGTATTAAAAAGTGCTAAGTATGTAAATTAAGTTATAGTTTTTTTGCAAGATATAAGAAAAACTAAACTTAAATGCGTCTCAATTTACTACCTGAGCTAAATATAGTCAAAACACAGTCTAAAGTCAGCTTTATTTATTGTCTATAGAAATAAAACCAGGAAAATTATTATCGCATTAATGTTCTTAATTTGCGCCTTATTATTTATTTAGGTATCTCATTTATTTTATGGTCTTTAACAGCCCAAAAAGAAGTGAATTTTAAATATAAAAGAACAGGTTTCACACTAGTGCATTATGCAGTTAGGTGGTATAAATTTAAATATGTAAGTAAACACTATGAGTGCAATATACATAAAAGATAACAAAAGTACATATTTTACTGTCGTATTATTGGCACTAGACTTATGCAGATTATGTATTTGAGTGGTGTTTAGTAATTAAAATAATAATAGTTTTAGTTACAGTCCATTCATATGAATTTAATATTCGCGTAAAAATAAATCTACTAAAGTTTCACGAAAACGTATTCTAAAGCTTTTTAAGCAATAACCACTGTTAATTTGAATTAACTATTTTCCGGGTTGGCCATAGAGATTTATCCAGTAACTCCAAGACTACAAGCTATGCATTCATTGTGCAACAAATGACAAACTGCACTTCAAGATTCTATCACGTTTTACGACCATGCAAAAAAATTAAAACATCCTTGTCTGTCAATACAGATTAGTTGCCGTCTTGGCCATCTGGAAAAAAGCAACGTTGGGCCAAGCATAGTGTAGTGGTCAATAGTAATTGCATGTATAGACAGCTTTAGGTAACAAGAGACGTCCAGCGAAAAACAAATGAGCAAAAACAAAAGAAAATCGACCTTCAAGGTCTCGCTGCGGACCAAATCGACGCAAAATGCATTTTGAATGAAAAAAAATGCATACGAGAATAAGTATGTCACTAGAACTGGCCGGTGGTTTACGAAAACAAACAAAAGCAAAAGTTGCCGGTAACTCGAGCGAAAGGCGAGCGTTGAACCCCGGACCTTGGTATTGAACGTGAGCGAGGTCCCCTCACCGGCCGCGCGTCTTATCATGATTATTATCTTCCGTAATTACTTACGAATGCTAATTATGACGATTCAAACTTGTATGTCTGTTGGTGAAATATATCAATCAGTTGTCAAAATAAATCTCCTTAATAGCTGAATGGCACGTGTAGTCGATTAAAATCTCTTCGTCATCTATTGTTTTATTGAACATCATACAAAACGTTTCATCGTACAAAACAAGTGATAAAAAAAATGAATTTTCTCTGCGTTTACAGGTTCTGGGTTTGATTCCTAGGTTGTAACGATATTCGTGTTATGTTGTGTCCATTAAATAAAAACATGTCAGACGTCAATAGCGGCTCGTAAAATCTGACACCAAGCTATGACCTCAATTTTTATAGTCTACTCATAAAAAAGTTCATTAACAATAAAGAACTCCCATGAAAAGTACCTAGCTAGGTAACCTACCCATCCTATACTGCGATTTCCGGTACGTCCGATACAGGTGGACCGACGACCTCATAAAGGTAGCAGAAAGGCGCTGGATGCAGGCCGCAATCAACTGGCCATTGTGAAAATCAATTTAATCTTCTCAGCTCTACGCACTCACGTCAGCTCCGCTCCTCCAACAAGTCCGTTCTCTCCACCCCTCTTCACCGAACTGGTTTTCTCTCCGACTCCTTCCGTCTCCAGGCCATAAGGCTCTGGAACTCTCTGCCTGAAGAGACCAGGCAAGCGTCTAGTAAGTTTTCTTTTAAAAAATCTGTCCATAATCACTTCTTCCAAATGATTTCATCTTCATGAATTGTAATTTCAGTTTAACTCAATCATCTATTGTATGTATGTATTTATTTATTATATATTTTATATATTATTTATTATTTGTTTTTCTTTCCTGCACTAGAAGTACGTAGCATATTATTATTTGTTTTTGTTTTTCTTTCCTGCACTAGAAGTACCGCTAAACAAATTTCTTTTCTGCTCAACCCAAAGGTAAACTGGTCGAGAATGCTTTAGTGCATTAAGTTCGCCTTATGTACAAATTTATTTTGGCATAAAAGTTTAAATAAATAAATAAATAAAATCATTGGTGGAGGCCTATGTTCAGCAGTGCATGTCTTATGGCTGAAATTATGATGATGAATATGATGATGTAGATATATTCATAATTCCATCTATTTTTTTAAATGAAAGTAACGTAACATTCAAATGAACTTTATTGCAAATTAAATTTAAAGGTGAAGGTCTTTTCTCTACGATGCATTGCACTATGTAGAGTCGTGATCCTGTATTATTTAATTAAATGCAGGCTACGCCACTATCTAAAGTATTCTAAAGTTAAATGTCAATAAAAACATACTAATCGTTAGCTATTATTAGTTCCAAAACTCCTTATACATTTTTCTAGTCTTTTAGAGCGGGCAAAGTCACATAAAGGACATAAAGCGTAATAATATTAATATACTTATGTACGAGACATATTGATCTTAATATAGTTGTTATATCGTGATAAGTACTATACATGTTTATTTGATATAGATGTATAGCGTAATTGATAGCATTATTGTTGTTACAGTAATTCATCACTTATTGCAATATCAAGTGACCTCTGATTACTAAGCTATGGCCAGGGTCACATAGACCATACATAAGAACTTGCTAATACACATTCAAGAGCAAAACAATAAACATTGTTACTGGTTACGCATTAAATAATCCATTTTAATTTTTGAAATCATTAAATTATGAGAGGGAAACATCAAATATTTTGAATTGTATGTTTTTATATCAAAATACGATGTTAGCAAGTATTTATGGTAATTGAATCGTAGCAATTAGATGTTCACAGTGTTAATACTGCATATACACGTGACTAGAAAATATAAAATTATTGGGGGTTTATTCAAACGAAAGGGTGTAAACAGAATGCGGAAGTTACCAATAAAACATGTGTTTTTCAACTATCAAATTATTGAATTAAAAATATATATTTGTCAACAAAATAAAAGAGTAGATGTAGCCGATAATATGTTGAATAAAGGGATGGGCCGATATGGCATGGCCACCTAGGGCGGCACGGCGCCCGCCTGGGCGGCGCCTAAAATGCCCGAAAACCTTGAGACTTCGGGACTTAAGTAAGAGATGTGTATAGGTGCAGTAGTATAAGTTGAGCTATTCAAGTAGATAACTATATTGATCATTATATCTATTTGGAAGAAGCAACATTTTTATATTAGGCAGGTTTTTGATTAATTTACTTTTGACAAGAAAAGTTAGATAACAATATATAGAGGTCGCGCTTTGTGGCGTGGCTCGAGGGACATAAGAAAGCCTTTAGCTGAAATGTTAATGAACCGGATCCCGCTTTTTCCGATCCAAATCTAAGAAAAAGTCTCAACAAAAACTAATTAAACCATTTAACTGATCTTGAAATATAATGCAAATTATTATCCGTATTACATAAGGCGTGGTGGCAACAAAAAATGGGAAACTGTCAGTCTTCATCCTGAAACACAACCGGACGTCATTCTGAGAAGTTGTGGTCTCTATGACCCACGTCATCATATCAATTGCGGATCCGTGAATCACGAAGTTGATCAGTACGGCTAGCACGAAAAACAAGTTCGAATCGTTTGCGTATTCGACAAAATTCGATACTCAATCTTCGAATTAAACGATAACGTGACAATTTTGATTCTCAAAATAAGTTTCGTGCAACCATTTCTCATACTAAGTTAACTTTACGACACGTTCACAAGGGCGCTGTTGTAGTTTTTGTACTAAATCTTTTGATGGCGATTCGAATACGCAAACGATTCGAAGTCGAACGTTTTTCGTGCTAGAGGCACAGATATCAGATGGAGCGAGGCCGACTAGACAAGGAAGCGGGTGACAATCTCAAATATTTCGCTATGTGCTAAACGTAAGCTTTATGAACAATGCTGCGATAGGAAGGAAGTACGAGCAGCTTAGTGTAATAGATTTCTTATCTCCTATCTGTCTATCTTAAGTCTAGCTAATAAAAAATGTAGGCTGCATTTCGACCTATGAAATAATAGTGCACATAATCGAGCACATCGTTGATATAATAATATAACCCTATACTAAGTGTCAAATGCATTTTCCAAAAGCTTTACGCTGAACATCCGATTGGCATTACATTATTCTGGAGTATCCTCTCAGAATTTCTGAAAAGTTAGTGAGATGAAGTTATCTCTCTCGGGAACCAAATCCGAAGCGTTGAAAGTTTACTGTGCGCTTAAAAAACTGTATGTAAATTAGTAAAATACGAGTTTAGTACGAGGATATTTACTAATTTACATAGGTAGTTTATTTACTAAAGGACGAACATTAAGTCTGACATTATACTTTTCATCAACTACTTTAGCGATAAAAAAAGACTACAATTACTAAGCTTAAGGAAGTGAACCATTATAACAATTAGGCGCCTTTATCAATGCACCAAGACAAATGTCTAGCATTTTGAAAGGATACCAGTCACGGCGAGCTCGTTTAGGGTTGCCAGGTCCAAAAACACAAAAGCTGGACTCTGTGCTTCATTTGACCGGACATTTTACCCTAAAAGCCGGACATGTGACAATGACAATGTGCAATTACGATGTAAGGTGATGATGATGATGAGATGTCACGGTGCTCACGTGTGAGTACTATCATCATCGGTTGCACAACATACTGATGCGTGCGCTTCATATTATTCTGTGACTCGACTTTCGCGGCTGCCAAATAAAAAGCCGGACAGGCCGGACAAGACCGTAAAAAGCCAAACATGTCCGGCTAAAACCGGACACCTGGCAACCCTAAGCTGGTTAGAATGTACTTTGACGGCCGCCTGGTTTACAAAGCCTTCTTCGGTTCGAGTCCTGGAGACGTATAAATGCATTCCAATTGTAATCACGAATCTGCATTAATCTTATAGTACGCAAATCGTACGCGAATTGGAATTCTAATAATAATATATCTTACTTGTAAGAATACAATATTTTCTTTATCTTAAAAAAAAAAATTTTACTCTCAATCTTTCCCCCTAGATGGAACATTCTTCAACATTTGTAGAAATACTTTGCATTAAAAAAAGAGTCCTCAAATCCTCCATTCTACAGCTGTTTGGAATTAGGTCACTTTTATTTACCAAAGAATTATAAAACAAGATGAAAAGATTAAGAACACGTGAGAAAAAGTATACGACAATAAAGAGAAAAAAAAAGACACTTAAAGCAGGTTTCATGTTACTCAAAATTAGATTAAAATGAATAAAATAAATGAAGGACGTTACTGTTATGCAAAAACCATAAAGAGAAAAAAAAAAACATTAAAGCAGGTTTCATGTCACTCAAAATTAGATTGAAAAAAATGAAACAAATGAAGGACGTTATTGTTATGCAAAAACCGAGTCAAACGCCCGCCGGCGTGGAAGTGGCGCGGATTTGACTTTAAACTTGAACTTGAATCGAGAGAGGTCACGATGCAACATTGAATGTATGTAGGTATTCATACATACTTATCTACAAATAATTGCACATTTTTTTTTCGTGTCAATAGACTATTTGTTGGCTAAGAGTTAAGTAACTCAAAACTCTGTAAAATGGATCTTTAGATGAAATCTTGTGATCTAACAAAAGTACCCAAAGTAACGCGTAAAAATCAAATAAACATTTTCAATTAAATAAAAAGATAGTACAAGTACGAGTAGTTGTCTACTAAGTATTTATGTAAGTATAGAGATGCTGTACACCAGTGGAACCATAGTTTTTATTCGATTGGGCATCACATCAATGCTAATTTTATTAAACCTGAAATTATTTTCTAGAAATTTCTTAGCAAAACTTGAATAGATAATTTTAGGGTTGGATATCGATGGTATTTTTGTAGAGTCCTGTGAGTGTTTATTTATTCCTAGTTAGTTTTTATCACATAAATGTTTTTCTTCATTTTAATACAAATTGGAACCGGTATTAGGCTGGCAGTTATGTTTTGCAGCATCCAACGCCGTTATTAAATGACTAATCACTTGAATGTTCACAATTAATGAACAGATATAGGATTAGGTTCTCCGTAATGAAGTATTTAGGTCATTGTAAAATGTAGAATGTTTTGTTTATGTCTTTCATAAACTTCATCTATAAAAAAACTTGTTTAAGTCACTTGGGATGTTTTTATTTTCTCGACTAAATCATTAATTTAATTTAGCTAGACGTCAAAACAACTCATGAAAGTAGGTAAGTGCTCGTTAACAGCAAATTAAGTCCCATTGTTATTGTGTGACTGTTTTTCTCCTATAATTATTTCTATTATGATCTTTTAAACAGAGATGATACATTAATATAATAGGGTGTTTATAAAATTCGCTACTACCGACGTAAATAAAAGAATGAGAATTGTTTGTACTCAATATTACGAGTATTAGAAATAGCAGTAGGTATTTTCAGGAGTTGCCTGTAGGCACCGTAGGCTGTGTATTATGGAAATTGATGTTTAGTTCTTTTCAGCCTAAAGACGTCCACTGCTGGACAAAGGCCTCCCTCAAGGATTTCCACAAGGACCGCTCCTGCGCTGTGCGCATCCAGGTACTTCCTGGCATGTGACACATTTTGTTTATGAATGAATGAAGTTATTAATGGCCGTAAAATCACTATTTAGGTAATTAATCAAACCGCAATCAGTGTTACATAATTTATTACCAAAACCAAATTACTGATGCCCAGTTCACAGACCTGTAGAGTTCGGTTTTTATGTTCCAATTATAATGATATTGGTCATCGTAAAAATAAATATTGATTAAAAAGTATCATTTAATTGATCTATCGCGTAGGTCCACCAGTTTTCGAACGCGATTTCAAAACTACAATAATAAAATCTTACTGTAAATTGAAAACGAACTCGTTTTTCAGGGCTAGAATGAAGTGTGCTTTTAAGAAGTAGGTAAGTACCCTACATAGTTAATTTTGTCAATTAGCGAAAGCTTTTTAGATGTGAAAACAACAGACAGTTACTTTCAAGAGTATATTATTTATACTTGAAGACCTTATATTATAAGATAAGTGTTATAATTAGGAATTTAAATAATACTAGATAAGTATTAAATGTTAAATTTAGAGCTAAAACAACCGTTTAAAAATAACTTCGAGATGAAGCAAGGAAATGTTCGTGAAAAATTCTGAATTCTTTTCAGTTATGAAATAGATAAGATTTATCTAGTAATTTAAACCCTTCTTTAGAACAATTATTTAGGTATATTTAAAGTAATAAGCGATGTTTATTACGATTACTTACTGTGTTAAAATGTATTATGAGTATTCAAGATTAGATTTACTTATTTAATTGTAAGTTCATATTTAATTGAATTCAATTTGCATCTACAACGTGACATAAACCGATGTAAATTTTATATTATTATGCCATTTTATTGATGCTATTAAATAATAATGATAATAATTATTTTTACATTAGTTATCGAGTTTTCAAATAAGATTTAGCTAAAATGTTGATAATTTTGAATTAAACTATTTTAAAGAGCGAAATATTGTATGTATTTCTGATGACAAGTTACCTTCTAAGAGTAAAACACGATTAAAATACGACATTGCCTGAATTTAATCATGAAGAATTTTTAACGTTTTGTCAAGAAAATAAAACATTATATACCTACCTGAAAAGGGGGATGGAAATTCAACAATTTCTGAAGTAAAACATATAATTTTAGTCAGAAATAAAATGTTTATCATAAAGATTATTTGTAACAGATCGAAATGCACGCAGGAGAAAACTCGGTCGACGCAAGAAAACGTTTTGGTTAGAATCTATTACAATTCGCAGAAAAATGCGTAATGGGTCTACGTGTTACCATTTCCAAATTAAAGACCATCCTTGTAGGTGTATGCATTTAGGTCTAGGTCAGATTAGTCTAAATGATCGGGACTGGAGCGTTTTGTATTCAAACAATGTGCGAATCTGATGTCAATTAGATTTTGAAAATCCTGTTTGGGTTAAGCGAAGAATACCTAATTATCCTTTACTTATGTAATAGATGAGTCTTGTATGTAATAGCCGACTTTTTATGTACATATTGTCGAGACTATGGCGTCATACAATATTAATTTTTAGTTTTTAAAATTAAACAAAATATAAAAAAATAAATTCGAGAAATACTGAAGTAAGTAATTTTTTTTTGTTGAATTATATTATGCGATGAAAACTCCTATAATTTTCACAATCAAGTCTTACTTGGTTTTAAATGGAAGGACGTCAATATAAACTCTAATGTTCTGGAAACATGATAAGAAATATTCATTGTATCGAGCAATGGAAGGGAAATGCATTTTCTTTTCAGTATAACTATTTTCACGGAGAAGAATGTCGTAATTGTGAATTGAAAAGCTCCCTTTCTTTAATTTTCATTAGATTGTATACTTATATTGGTTTTAATGAATGTTTAAATAGCAAAAATGTTTAAATAAATAAACCATGAAGAATTAAGAAAATAAAATTTTTATATCGAAATAATAGCTAGGTATAGGTACATACGGTGAATAAATTAGAGATAATAATTATGTTAATAACATAGTGTCATTTACTGTGCAAAATTTGCAACTACGATAATAGTTGAACTATAAACTACACGGAGATAAGTGATCTTGGTGCAGTTATTCATCTCATGATGAGGGGAGCGGCCGGGTGTTCGTGAACGAGCGCCTGACGCGCCCCAACCGCCAGCTGTTCCACCGGGCGCGCGAGGAGTGCCGCGCCCGCCAGTGGAGGTACTGCTGGACGAGGCGGGGGCGTGTCTTCGTCCGCAGGAGTGATGGCGCGCAGGTTTTCCAGTTGCGCACGCCCGACGATCTCGTGAGAGTGTTAGGAGCTCCGCCCATATGACTCTTTGCATCCTGTAATTGCAACATCGGGGTGTTTAGTTTAATGTGCCGTATCGGGTTAAATTTGTATATGATTTTTACTGTATTCTTACTCACCTATGCAGTGTTCAGAACATATAAATGTCTGAAATTGTCTTTTTTAGGGCTGGGTCATTGTTACATAATACTAAAATCCTCATTTAATGAAACTCAGATTGCATGTTTTGACTGGTCACCTTATTTCATTATATTCATAGAAAATGATATGCATACACAAAGATATAATAACAATATGATGATACACAAAACAATGATTATTCTTGCTGTAATAAGTGATATCAACATGGTTACCACTGCTAATAGTATTGTAATACAATGGTGTTTATATTTGTGCAATTTGTCACTAGTGCGGGCCTTGGGTTAAACAATCTTAGAGTAGCTCTATTCAATGCGGGCTCACTTTGCACGAGACATGATGAGTTTATGGTGGCGATGGAAGAGTTGAACCCAGATGTGTTGGCCATAAATGAGACGTGGCTCAGAGCAGGGGAAGAGGATAGGGCACCTAGGGTGTCAGGTTATCGGCTTAAACATACTCCAAGACCTAATCAGGTTAGAGGGGGCCGCGGGGGTGGTGTTGGGTTTTATGTGCGCAAGAATTTATATGTAAGAGCATGTCCGCATCCTGGCTCCTCGACTACTATTGAACAAATGTGGATTTCTCTGCACATAAATAATAAAAAGATAATAGTTGGCACTGCCTACAGACCCCCATGGCAGGATGTGGGTGTTTTCCTGGACGCCATAGCGGAATCCGCTGCCTCCTGTGCAGGTTGTGATGGATTGGTGCTTCTCGGTGACTTTAATATCAACCTACTGGACAAGTGTAGCGGGAGGTGCAGGGAGCTAATGCAATGCATAGACAGCCTTAATCTGAAGCAGTTGATATCGGAGCCGACACACTACACAGATCACAGCAGTACTCTCATTGATATTATATGCACCGATATGGGGGCTGTTCAGGTTACTGTAAAACACTCACCGGATCTGGGTGGCCATGCCATGCTCATGGCTGAATTTAAAGTCCGGAAAGAAAAAGTTCAGCCACGCTGTGTTACTTATAGACCATTAAAAAATATCATACCAGAACAACTTGAAGCAGATCTCAGTGCAATTGATTGGTCCAATCTTGAGGGAGTTGTGGATGTCAATTCTAGAGTTGAAATTCTAGGACGGTGTATTCTAGGGTTAATGGATCTGCATGCCCCATTAAAGACACGTAGATTTAAACATCCTCCACATCCCTGGATAACAGATACCATCAAGGAAATGATACATGTTAGGGACGATTACCACAAGCGGTACAAGAAAAATGGAACCACTGCTCTTAGAGATGGTTACAAAGTGATGAAGAAGATGGTGGTTGATGCAATTGAGAAAGAAAAAACCTGCTTCTTTAAAACCCACATCAATAGTAACTCAAAAAATCCTAAACAGCTTTGGAAAAACCTGAAAAATACAGTGCTACCGGACAGGAAAGGTGCTTGTGAGCTTCCTCCAATATTTAATGACCCTGATTCAATTAATCATCATTTTCTCAACGTGCCTGGGGAAAACAATGTGTCGATCTCTAAATTAACCTATTATGAATACCACAGACATAGGAACCTTGTATCATTCTCACTCCATACTGTTAGCCCAGAAGTTGTTTTAAAAACCATCACAGCGCTTAAATCTAATGCCCAGGGAAGTGATGGCATCACACTGGATATGCTAATGCTCACATTGCCTTACTCACTTCAAGCGCTTACCGACTTGGTGAATGGTTCAATATTGCATGGAATCTTTCCTGACTGTTGGAAGGTGGCAGTTGTAAGGCCACTACCAAAGACTAGTCACCCAGCTTCAGTTGGGGACCTAAGGCCTATCAGCATCCTACCATGCTTGTCCAAGATCCTCGAGCGTATAGTTTGTAATCAACTAACTAAATACCTTGAGGAGCAGGGGTTGCTCCCGGGACGTCAATCGGGATTCCGCAAAGGCTATGGGACGGCCACTGCTCTTTCGGATGTTATTGATGACCTTCTCGCTGCTCAGGATGGAGGGATGGTTTCGATGCTTGTGCTGCTGGACTTCTCGCGCGCGTTCGACTCTATTAATATTCCTTTGCTTCTCTCCAAGCTGCGTTATTATGGTCTAGATAGCTCCTCCATTCGATGGTTCCATAGCTATCTTACTCAACGACAGCAGTATGTGGAGCTGAAAGGGGTGGATGGGTTGGCATTATTGNATGTTTACTACTAATCAAAGGCTAATTAATGTTTTAGAAATATTAAATACTTAGACTGATTAATGTCGTCATGTGGTACTATAATTTTAATATTCGTATTATTAATGACTAGCGGCCGCCCGCGACTTCGTACGCGTCGATCCCGTTTTACCCCCTTCATCTATCTTACGCGGTTTAGATTTTTCATACAAAAGGATTTTCCCGCTAATTCCCGTTCCCGTGGGAATTTCAGGAATTCCTTGTAACTAAGCTTTAAGTTCACTAAGGTACCTACATGCCAAATTTCAAGCGTCTAACTCAAGCGGTTTAGATTTTTCATACAAAAGGATTTTCCCGCTTATTCCTGTTCCCGTGGGAATTCCTAAGTATACTATAACCTGCCCAGGAGTATGAAGAATAATTGTACCAAGTTTCGTTAAAATCCGTTGAGTAGTTTTAGTTTCTATAAGGAACATACAGACGGACAGACAGACAGACAGACAAAAATTTTACTGTTTGCATTTTTGGCATCAGTATCGATCACTAATCACCCCCTGATAGTTATTTTGAAAATATATTTCATGTACAGAATTGACCTCTCTACAGATTTATTATACAGTGTGAGTCACGTTAAAGTGTACATATCAAAATAGATGAAACTAGACCTATTTTTATCGACAAAAAAGAGGTCAAAAAATTTTTGAGATTTTTTTTTAATTTTTTTTAGAATTTTTTTTCTTTCAATTACTTATTGTAAAGAAAACATAATAACTTTTAAACTAAGCGGTATATCTTGATACAATAAAAACAGTAACAATGCTAAATAACAGGCAATACTAAAAAAATACATAAAATACACAAAAAAGGCCAACAAATAATAAAAAATTATACTTTTTGAAAAAAATCAGCTTAAAAATTCGTGTTTTTTTGGTTATTTGATAAATTTCTCCAAAAAATGCCGCTAAAACAGGTAGTTTTTATTAGTTTGTATTATTCTCTATCATATTACCTTCGTAAAACGAAAAATTGCATGTCTCTATCCCTATCACAACGTTTGCAATGATCGTTTGAACTAAGCCTCTCCGGGCGCGCCATTCAACGCTTCGTTAACAACAAAACTGAAAATGGCTCTAGATTTGTAATTTTGATAAAGACAAGTTAGATTTCAAATAAAAACAAAAGATTTCGAAGTAAAATAANTGGTTGATGACCTTCTGGCTGCTCAGGATGGGGGGTTGGTTTCGACGCTGGTGCTGCTGGACTTCTCGCGCGCCTTCGACTCCATTAATATTCCTCTGCTTCTCTCCAAGTTGCGTTATTATGGTCTTGATGATTCCTCCATACGATGGTTTCATAGCTATCTCTCTCTGAGACAGCAGTACGTGGAGCTGAAAGGGGTGGATGGGTCGGCATTATTGTCAGAACAAAAACCAGTAACTCGCGGAGTTCCTCAGGGATCCATATTGGGTCCAATACTGTACATTTTGTACAGTGCTGACATAATCAACTGTATCAAGGACTGTCAATACCACCTATATGCCGATGATCTACAATTATATACATCATTCCCTCCATCTGATCATGAAAATGCAATAATGAAGATCAACAACCAACTAGGCAGAATTTTTGACTGGTGTACTGCCAATTGCCTTGTTCTCAACCCAAGAAAATCAAAGTTCATGCTAACTGGAACACGTAGAGGCTTGGAAACCCTTAAAAGCATACAACTCAACGTTGAAAAATGGAGAACCTTTGGAAAGAGTGGCTGAGGCGAGAAACCTGGGAATGGTCATTGATGGAAACCTCAAGTTCGAAAGCCATATACTCGAGTGCACTAAGAACTGCTTTTGCCGCTTAAAGATTCTATACAACTTGAGGCCCTATTTAAGAAAGAAAGAAAGAAAGAAAGAAAGAAAGAAAGAAAAAATGTTTATTTGGCACCAAATTACATGCACTTAAAACCTACACAATATTTAACTTATTCTAATACAAAACAAAAAATATATACAATCTAAAAAAATAATTATAATTTTGGTACCAAATTGGGCTCCGCTCAGTAAAGGCAGTGACGGCGCAGAGCTCGACACGGCGACTGGTATTCTGCGGAGTCCATTTGCAGAGGAAAAGAAGGCGCATAGCCTCAGCACACAGACAGCCGACGCATACTTCTGTCTTATAGATTATGTGTGACTCAATTACACTGGCCTTCCCGCAACTTCGCCCGCGTATAACATAAAGTAGGGGNGATGGCTGCTCGGCGAAGATTGCACCTGGCCACCATGTTGTTTGGCATACTGGATAGTGCGAGGCCTAAGTATCTGTTCAGCAAACTGGAATGGGCCCAAGCTCAGAGTAGATATCCAAAGAGGCTATGCACTCACATATTTGCTACACCCAAACATCGCACAGCAGCTTTTCGCGGATCATTCAGATTTGCGGCGTCCCGGTGCTGGAACGACCTGCCTCCTCCTCTGCGCGCCCTGAAAACAAAATTTACTTTTAAACATCACCTAAGAAAATATTTAATAGAATTGCAAAAGACTGACAATGATGGGTTACTTACCAGCGGGTCATGCGCGGCAAGCGTAGGAGACCTATCGGGGCTTCCTGGCACCGGTATGCCGCAGTAAAATGATGGACGGAGGCCATGATCATGAAGCGCTGGGTTCATACAAAGTTGCCACCGTTCCCTCCCATTCCCATTCCAATTCCCCATTTTCATTCTTGGGGCCCTCCCTGCGCATGAGTGCATCCTATAGGGAAAGTAAAGTAGTATTTATCTTTATTAAATTGTATAATGTATCGAACTAAACAGTAAATGGATAACTTTCTCACCAAGTTACTTGCACTTCATGCCAAAAAACCAAGGCAATGGGTGGGAATCAAAACGCCAAGCACTCCGTTTAGCGTCGTCTTGGGCCTGCTTTACTTTATTGTTCTCTGGCTTGACCTTTGTGATGTGTGGCTATACTAAATCACTTTTTTCAATCAAAATCAGGAATCATAATGGTGAAATCCAACTCCAAAGATGAAATCACGTTTTTATTGCGTGGCAGCACGCGGTCTTCAATGCACAGATTAGAGTTTTGTTCTTTTTTTTTTTATTTTATTTTTAAAAATAGCTTATTGTCACAGATATTGATAGATGCAGTATGTGAAAAAATTTGTATGAAGTTTAAACGTCATTACTGTCATTTTAGCCAATTTTAGTGATTGTCGAAACGTAATTAATCGTATCATCGTACTGCAATCGCAAAGTAATCGAGTGATGTCGAGTGACTCGATTCGATAATTAATTAATTCCGATAAAACTGATATTTTGATAAATTTATAGCTAGTCGGAATGTGGATCGAAATAATTTTGTAGCGGTAAACGTCATTCTTGATTTTCTTATTAATTTGCAAATAATATTTTTATTGTGCATTTATCAAAGTAATGATCGTTATTCCATTGTGCTAAATAGTACTAGTGGCGCCCTCTTTGTCAATGCTTAGTCTTTGTCAATGTTCTGTTTTTGTTTTGTTTTGTTTTTAATGTTATTTTTTTATTTTTATTTATAATGTTGGTTGGAGAGGCGCCCGCTGAAAACCAGCGTCGGGGCACGCGTGCATGCACGCGTGGCTCGATTAATGCTGAGCGGGCGCCTTTTTGGCACAAAAATATGCGTGTATAGTTTTAAGTCCCTTTGTTCTGTTTTTTATTTTTTTCCTTTTTTGTGTCAAATAAAGTTTTTCTTATTCTTATTCTTATTCTTATCATATTAGTTTAATGTTGAGTTTTTTCTTGGTTTTAAAAGGTGCAATCCCTTAATGGAATCGGATTGCTCTCATTATAAATTATGCTTTTTAAGTAAGAAACAGATAATGTGATAGACTTTAAAACTATAAGAGCCTTTTAATAAACATTCGTGAAATATAGTTTGAGAAGAAATATGCCTTTATTTTCAAGATATAAAAGTGTTCTTTAAAAGCCATTTTACAGAAAATAAAATTAATTTGAGCGGTGATATTGCGTGTTGTTTATTTTTAACCGACTCAAAAAAGGAAGAGGTTATTGCGCAAATAGTCAAGAAGTTGGTGAAAATTCAAGTATCGATCCTTGTAACTGCTTTATACCAGTGAAGTGGGATATTAGCGCGCACTTCACTTGCGCGCACACTTGACCTGCGCGGAGCCTTCAAAGAAAATATGATTTATGTTGGCTTTTTATCGCGCTCAATAATGACGGCATTAGGCAGTAACTTTGAGGGATGAGTGCGAATTTTTTACCCTCTTACAGGGAATTAAGTTGCCTCTGAGTATCTTCGGGTAATATCATTTAGATGAAATGATTGACGGCATGTTACGGCTTTCGACGCTTTTTGAATTTAGGTTGAAATGTTTTTATATTTTATTTTGAATGACATAAATATAAAACTTACTTTGATATTTTATACCTTTTGATTATAACGTTGGTAACTATGCAAACAGAATATGTTGAAAGTTTGGATGGATATTTGGTTTATAAACATTTTTTTTTATGTGACAGGAGGCAAACGAGCAGACCGATAGATATAGATAGAGATAGATATCCTAAACCGTATTATTTGGCTAAACACTAAAAGCAAGAAATAATACAAACTATTTTAATTACTTGTGCACTCCTCGATGAACCTATCGGATCAATATAATATCATATCAAGTGAACAAATAATTGCAGCATGTAAAATAAGTTATCCGATCCAGTTTGGAATTAATCCAGATAATAGTTCGCGGTGAGTTTTGAACAAACGCAATCCAGTCTGCTGCTCTATGCTCCAAAGTCCAAAGTATACAGCAAATAAAACAAACAGTGCAATCCTAACATTCTGATCGGCGATCACATATGAGTTTACCATCGTTAGTCTAGCGAAGAGTGAACTACCTACTTCGATCCAGAGTGTGTACCTATCTTTCGTAAACACACTAACATAGATATCAAGAGTTTTGTCGGTATATTCCTTTCTTTTGGGATTTGAGTAGTTTAAGCAGTTTTTTAGGTGGCAAATTTAATTTGAGTCTAACAATATTGACACTGAGAAAAAATAAAAATAGTTGATAACTAAGAAAAAAATATTTATTATATCAAACAGACGTTTCCGACTTTATATTTTGTCAAGTGTACAAAAGGTTGACATTTTGCCATATTAAATAGCTTAAAGAGTGGTAAAAATAATAATAAATACTTTTTATTGCACACCACATAAAAAGAACAGAAAGAAAAATAATAAAAATAATGGAATCAACAGATAAAAGTCAAAATGGGCAGTCCCATCGACAATATTTGTTTCATAGGAGTTGCTGTTTTATTCAATCTACGCCATAACGTGTTCCAAAAGTCACGGGATATTTATGGGGTTCGCGCGGAGATTAAAACTATAGTCATTTGTGCCGCCATGCCGGGCCGGGGCGCACCGTAATCCGTTTTTATTTCATGCGAGTTGTATTCGCTTCTACCTCTATTGGCTCCGTGCACGATTACAGCGCCAACTAGCGTCCACAACTTTGTGGGCTCTGTCACATTGACATTTAGGTCGTTTAGTTGTGAAAAAATATCGAAATGAAAAAATAACAAATATTTTCAACTAATAAATCAAAGTCAAAGTCAAAGTCAAAATTTCTTTATTTGTTTGGACTAATAAATAGTTCTTACAAATCGTCATTTTGCTCTAAGGAGCCTCTACATGTCTCATAATCTTTTTACCCTACCAGCGCTTCGAGACCAACATTTGGCAAGTGCTGAGAAGAAGCGCCGCAACAAACTCAGTCACCACTGTCTGCCGGTTAATATAAATAAATAGAAATAGTAGTAGTAGGTACATTCGATTCAGGAGCAGTTCACTGAATTTACCATGCATTCTTGTATGGTGTATCTTATAAGAATGGGTATACAAGATTGCGTGGTATATTAAACAAGGTAGTGACGTGCTAATTTCTAGACTTACATATTAAGATACTAGTAGAAATGACTCGCATACATAAATTTGAATAACTTGGATTGACCAGTCCCCGAAAGCAGCGCCTGTTCACAGACATGACGAGTGAACCAGCCATCGCTTCACTCGACCATATTAGAGGGAATGTAACGACCCGCCTCACTACGCCACCACCCCAGAGACATTTTAGTGAGAATGACAATTCNTTTATAGTTGTAGTTTTACAGTAAAACAAAAAGAAAAAGCTACTTTAACGGTTTCATTATATAACAGTAAATATATTTAAATGTTTCTGTATCGCTAGTAATAAATTAAATATCGTTTTCAGATCGAAATGAGTATCGTTTTGAAGACCGGGTTTGTGAGAGTTACAATATCAAATTCCAACCACAAACCGTATTTAAAGGAAAGTTGTTGGTATTGGCTGGACAAGTCCGAGATGTAGAAGAATTAAGAACAAAACAAGGGCAGAGTTCAATAATTCACGCTCTCATCATAAGGCAAACATCTGTGCACAACAACTACTGTGACTCATTTTTGTACTACCACGTTGTATAGTTTAGTTATTTCCAAATTGTAAACGGCTATTAAAACAGCCCTATCGAAATACAGTCCACTCTTTTATTTAAGTTCCCAGTAGGACCCTTTTCATGCGATTAATTAATGATATTAAAATGTATTATGTAGAATCGCTTTGCCATTGACAGATACATCTGATGACAGAGCTAACATTATTTCTACTTTTGACCACCATGAGCGCTGCGATAGATTATGTCCCCCCCACCTAGTACTTCGCACCCAGCGAATAGCCATTTGTTTAGAGATCCGACATTCAATTGATATTTTCCATTTTGTGGACAATTTATTTGAATTTTATTTTATTTTTCAAAGGATAAGTAACATTTTCATCGATTTTCAATTTCAGATATATTTCAGTTTTTTTACTTATCCCAGTTAACGTAGTTATTAGATAATATACTTACGCCTGTGTTCACAAACGTTACTATGATGTCTCACAGTGCGTTAGTGCGTCCACGACGCACAGAGTGACACATGAACCAGTAACAGAGCTCTATTCAATGCTGTGCGTTCTATTTGCTACTTCACTTAAGCAAGCATCGTTTGTGAATACGGCTGTTAATGCTTAAGATACACATACTTAATTGTCTAATTAATTTAATCCTTAGGATTATAGATAGATACCGCGTATTTTAGGCAAAATGAAGGCATAGAGCACGTGAAGCATTAACGCCTAGCTAATTGCTAAGGTAAAGCTAGAAATAAAGGGAATGGGATTATAATTTCATAATTAAAACAAATTACCAGGTCTTCTACCATTTCAAGGACAAAGCACAGAAACAACGAAATTTTTGTAATTAAAAAATGTCTATCATTTTATATACCGTATTTTTGCATGAACTCGTCCGAACCCACCTTTGTATTGTTTTTTTTTGCGCAATTTGGGTATGAAAAAGCAAATATAATTTACGCCGGTGTTTTAGCTGATTGCACTTTTTGTGGCAACTTTTGAAATATGAAACTGGCTCAAAATCTTTTTGATTATACCTAGAATATTCATACTCTTTACTAACACTAAAAACGCGAATGTTACATAAAAGTCATCTAAATCACAAAAAGGGATATTATTATCGAACTTAGCGAACCTTGTATAATATTTTCTTTTTATTTAGTTTGAGTTTCGAATATTCGAATTTTGAGCTCTATGCGGGAATTATTTTGCATATCGAATTCCTGTTTCATCCAATCTAATACAATACATAGAGGCTACGGGTATGGCTAGACAGGTTCCCATCAATCCCATAACTGCAGGAGCGATAGCCTACACTTAGCTGTTGTTGCTTGGATGGACACGCAGCCACATAATAAGATGCCACTAATGGTCCAATATAAATATGGAAGCACCAAAATAATCCACGAATGGATTTTGAACACTATGTCTTTACTATTAGGCAAATCCTACGTTAATCTAATAAAGTTGTAGATTTGTGTCATTTTGAGAAGTGCGCTGATTTTGGTTGGTGAA